CCATCCACTCATCTATCCATTCATCATCCATCCACCCACCCATCCACTCATCTATCCATTCATCATCCATCCACCCATCCAACCACTCATCCATCCACCCTCCATCTATCCATCCATCCACTCATCCATCCATTCATCATCCATCTGCCCACCCATCCACTCATCCATCCACCCTCCATCTATCTATCCATCCACCCAGCCATCCACTCATCCATCCATTCATCATCCATCCACCCATCCATCCACTCATCCATCCACCCTCCATCTATCCATTCATCCACTCATCCACCCTCCATCTATCCATCCATCCACCCAGCCATCCACTTATCATCCACCCATCCATCCACCCATCCATCCACCCTTTATCCTCCATCCATCCGTCCACCCACCCACTCACACGAGAGAGTGCACTTGATGTCTGCTTCCTTCAGTGTACTGTAATCCTTTGCTCACATCATCCCAGATTTGGGATGGCAGAGTGGGTTACACTGGCCTGTGTCCTTGGACACTGCTCTATCATTCTGTGACCTTCTCTGGCAGGCTGTCGGACGGGCACTCTGCCCAGCCATTTCTCTACGCCCTGCTCCTGCTGGTGGGGAGCAGTCCCCTGAGACTCTCCTTGTGCCTCAGGCACCCCCTGCTGCTGCCTGAAGTGGAGCTTTTCACTGAGAAGACCAGGGAGCGTATTTTCCTAAGAGAAGACCCATCAGGCATGCAGACCAGTGTTTCCAATTCAAATTTTGCAAGTTTATACCTTTTACTGTTTGATATCATTGCTGTTATATTTGTAGTTCTCTCATGCCACAGATTTCGTTTCTAATGATATTAACACAATTACTTATTTGCTTTATCTGATGTGTCATAACTGTTTCAAATGAACAATAACAGTGCAATTACTAACAACGATTTCTGAACAGTTAAGATTTATTTTGCCATTTTCTGTCCTTATGATGTATTTAATCAGGGAAATCTGAATCCTGGTTATTTGAATGGGTTGGGGATCATTGTCACAGGGTGCAGGTGTCATGAGCATACTGTATCCCAGAGGAGGGGGAGAACCGGAGGGGGACATGCAGAAGAGAGCTCCTGTGGCCAACAGTTGGAAACCTGGAGTAACGTCTCCCGTGGGGGCTCAGGTGCACGTGGGTAGGGGGTCTTTGTTTTGCTGTGTCTGCTCCGGGGTAGTTTCAGCGTTGGTTTGAGCAGTGCTGTGCTGTGTGGGTGTTCCTCGTCACTCTCACGATGGCCGCGTGCCCTTCTGCTGCAGGTCCACCCTGTACCTTCCCTAGTCCAGCTCAGGGCTGGGCGCCAGGGGAGCCCTCAGACGAGGGGCAGGGGTCGAGGGTCTCCAGCAGGGGGGCAAGATCACTGCCTCTTAGCAAATCCACTCTGGGGACGTCAGGAAGAGGTGTGAAGAGCCCATGACTGGTGGCTGGAACCCACACCGAGGACCCGTGGGGTCGTCGGAGAGACGAGACTCAGGCCAGGAACACCGAGGGCAGCTCCAGGGGTCTTCTGCTCCGCAGACCTGCTGGGGGGTTGAGATAGGAATGGGGACAGCCGCTCCCAGATTTTAGTCTCGGGGTGGGGCTGATGTGGCACCTGGTGTGAGGGGCAGGAGCTCCACCTGGGGTATGTGTGACCCAGGCTGGTGGCACCGTCTGGGACGTGGCCTGCGGGCAGTGGGGCAGCCAGGGCAGGTTCCGAGTGACCCCTGGCCCCACGCTCCAGCAGTAAGCAGCAGTGGAGAGGAGCAGGTGCCACGCTGGACGCTGGGCCCTGAGCCTGTGTGGGTCACTCAGGTGTGGCTTCACGGTTGCTGGGGAGGCCCAGGAGACAGATCCTGCCCAGCCTGGGGGTCCAGCCGTCCCCTAGAGAGGAAGGTCACCGGCTTTGCCAGCGTTCTTACCTGGGGCTCAGTACACTGCAGTGTGGCCATGGCATGAGGACACTCCATGTTCCTTGTGGTCTCCCTTCTTGCCTAGCACCCTTCGCCTGATTCTGTCGTCGGATTTGTGACTCCAGCACTGGGCAGGGGGAGAGGGCACAGACAGCCAAGGGGTAGCTCTCCTGAGCTGCAGGCACAAGTGGCTGGAGGCCGGGCCCTGGACAGGGGAGGGGTGTGTGTGTGTGTGTGTGTGTGTCTGTGTGTCCAGGGTGATGATCCAGGATAGGTCTGTCACCTATGGAATAAGACTTCACTAGTGCAACCTGTAAAACTGCAAACCAACCCTTCTTCAGCAAAGCTGGGCCCGAGCGGCTCTCGCTAGCGAGGCTGGAGACATCTCGTGTTTGAAGACTGCCTCTGAAGCTTGGACGCCAGTTTTATTCATCCTCCCCTGGAACCTGGGGCGGAGGAACGCCTGCCTTCGTGATTGGATTGGAGCTTCCGGGTCAGCCTGGTCAAACCATTCTGGGTGAGTGTAGGTTCACCTGTGAATTAACTTGAACACTGAATTAGTAGAGTCCAGAGTTGTAATTCACATCTGGACAGCCACTTCGCTCATTCAAGGTAGCACTTAGCCCGAGCAGGCGTGAGGCTGGGGGAGCCGGATGGCACAGTCAGGCCCTGCTGAGGGCACAGAATGTTTCAGGTGAGGGTTTATTATGATTTAAGAGGCAGAGAATTGCATAGCATATGGTCAATAGAAGCTATTTGCTGCTTTCATAAGCCATTTTTCATATCATTAATTTTTTGCATATGTTTCATTAATTTTCAGGGTAATCCATATCCCCCCTTCCTGGGAAATCTATCACTGCAGACTTAGATGTCTCCTCTGCTAGCCAGGGAAGGCTATGCCACCTATTGGCTTTGGTCTGACCCATTGTCCAGGGACTGTAGATCCACTAAAGGGTGGTGTCCAAACTATTCATCCATCTGTCCATCCACCCACCCACCCACCCATGCACCTGTCCAC